TAAAATTAATTTGTCTCAGTGTTGATATTTTCCTATACGAGTATCCTTTGCGAGGACCTTAGTTATCCTTCTGTAGTTAAGGTATTCAAGCAAATGGCCCTTTTTGTGGATGGACATATTGTTACAATGTTCCACTTCTCTGGAAACACTGTTTCCATTAAATATATAATTTTTTCCGGCTGATTCAAGCAGATTTGCTGGTAAGTTGTCTGTTTCTAGGGATTTATTGTTTGCAACCCAAAGTTTGGTAGATTATGTTCACGCCTCTATCTAATTTAAGTTTTTTATGCATTTTACAATCCGGCAACATAGTGGCGCAGGAAGATATATTATGCCATATGTGAAGATAAGACGAGCCCCTAAAAGCACTCCAAGGGCGACAGCATCATTCAAATATGAGAAGTCGAGGCCGGTGGACACCAGCGAGCAAAACAATACGTATTAGCGTTTTAGTTATGTATTGTTAATTCAATAAAGTCAGTTTTTTCACACGGAGTTTGATTATTTACCAGCGGCACACGCGAAGTGCATATCAAGTTCCAACCAGATTATGTTGTTTATTTTCTGCATATTCTTCTCTCTGGTTGCTGGTTCTTGTTTTAGATTGTCGAATTTGACATATTATTTCCATATCGCTCCGATACCTTCTGGGTTTGTTATGACAATTCCACTATTATCTTTGATAATCTGTGTCTCCTATTCTCTCGCTAGGTATGTAACTCTTCTTGCCGGTCAGCATGTTAGTTTAGTTGTACACATGTTTTTAATATAATTACGTTTGTCCCTTCTGCACAAGCGTTTTATATTTGTATTTATGGTCTATTTCTTTTTATATTAAAATTGATATACCTCATCTCAGTTATCTTCATTCTTCTTGAGGGTCTCCAGTAGTCACTGGTATGTCAGCTTTTGCTAATGCAAAATATCTTACAACTATGGTTTCAAAAATCTAATTATTGTTGACTTATCGATATAACAATTTATAAACGTCAGTTTCCATAGAAAATTGAGATATACCTATTAGAATTTTATTATTACTTTATACCAGCATCGATTATTATTTCATTTCAAATTACCTATTTGAAAACGGTACAAGTATTGAGTTTTACCAAGAGTATCTTTTTGGTGTAAAATTGTATGTTCACTTGGAATTTTGATTAAATAGTTGTACCCTTAAAAAAGTTATGTCGAATTATACTTGGTACGAACCTTGTAACTAGCACTCTCTATGAGAATCAGATATAAAAAGAAATTCATGGGATGTATCAGCTTCCAAAACATATTCGTATAAGCTTTCATTACAATGTTGCCAGTAGTTTCGGTAAAATCGTAAAAAATGTATAATTTTCTTTTCTTATCGCCCTTTTTCTTAAAAACGAATGGCGTTACAAGAAATTTTTACTAAGCAAACCCCAATTATTATTTTTCAGTTTTTTACCTATTCTAGAGACAGTGTTACCTTTTTTGAAACACCCTGTAGAAAAACTGAAATAAATCCTACCTAATAAATAGCACTAAAATATAAAGGAAATAATGCCCTGAGGCAATATGTGTTTTGAGTTGACTTCATACCTTTTTAATTGGATTCAACTCAGAATGGTAAGGAGGTAGTCTCAGAATGGCAACATTTTTCTCTTAGCACATCTCGTCGATTTTGTTTTAGGTATTCTTCTTTAGTGGATGACCAATTGACAGAGACAGTCTCCATAGATAGAGGAGTGAGGCAAGGATGCATTCTGTCCCCGGTGTTATTTAATATACACTCTATATCTTCGAGCAAGTGTTAAGAGAAATACAAGAAGGCGTATTAGTCAACGGAATGCGTCTAAACAACATTAGATATGCCGATGACGCAGTAGTTTTTGCAGATAGTCTGGACGGTTTGCAAAGAATAATGTCGCGTATATCAGATATAAGTAGAGAACACGGACTTGATCTTAATACGAAGAAAACAAAGTACATGGTAGTCAGTAAGCGCGAAATATTAAATACACAGCTTTTGGTTAACAAACATCCAATTGACAGAGTGGACAGCTACATATACCTTGGTACCAACATTAACAGCCAATGGGATCACTCCAGTGAAATAAAAATACGCATAGGAAAAGCGAGATCAGCGTTCATAATGATGAAGTCTCTTTTCAGAAGTCACGATTTACCACTTGCTACCAAAATCTCTTTCATTAGATGCTATGTATTAAGAAGCTTCTTTAAATAAACTCGAGGCATTCGAGATGTGGTGTTACAGACGTATTTTAAGAATTTTATGGGTGGATAGTGTGACTAATGTTGAGGTCCTACGTAGAATAAGCAAGGAATGCGAGATTATTAACATCATCAAAGAGCGCAAACTAGAATACCTTGGCCATGTTATGAGGAATGAACAGAGATACAGTTTGTTGTAACTCATTCTTCAGGGCAAGGTATTTGGAAAGAGAGGACCAGGGAGAAGAAGAAAATCTTGGCTTCAAAACCTGAGAAAGTGGTTTAATACATCGACAACCGGACCATTCAGAATAGCAGCAAGCAAAGTTAGGATAGCCAAGTTGATTGCAAACATCCGGAACGGATAGGCACCGTAATTAAATGTGTTTATGACTTCTTAATAAATAATCTTCTTTAAAAAAGATATCTTTCTCCAGCCATCATGTCTTAATTTGATCTTTATTAAACGCTTGTGTCAGAAACACTTCCTCTAAGGTTAAAAGTTGTTGTCCTTCACCACAACAGTTTTCTCTGGAAGATTAGAAAGCAGCTTTTCCTTAAACCATTGATCAAATATAGGACCATCCATCTCATCATGATAGTCCATCATTATCATCATCATTTGGCTCTACAACTCTATGTGAGTCTTGGCCGCGTTTACTATTTGCCTCCATTGTTATCGGTCCTGAGCAGCTATTTCCCATTGCTGTGTCCTTCCATCTTTTTTTTGGGCGACCAACTGACCTCCTGCCATCGGACCTTTCCCAGAATATGGCGTTCAGGAGTCTTTCGTCACTCGATCTTAGCACGTGACCCGCCCATCTTATTCGGTTTGCTTTATTGTAGCGTACTATATTTTCATCACCATATACTGTCTGGAGTTCATCATTGTGTCTTCTTTCCCATTCTCCTGTTGTCTCTTCTCTGCAAGGCCCATAGATAGTCCGCAGTATCTTTCTTTCCAGTACCAATAATTTTGTCGTTTCCCGCTGGATCAGAGTCCATGTCTCGCTTCCATACGTTATTGTGGGACGAATTATTGTCTTATACACTCTTTATTTTTGCTGGTATTGAGAGTATTTTTGATTTAAGTACCACCATGTACTTGGTCTTGTCCTAGTTGACCTTCAGTCCAACTTCTTTGGCTCCGTTTTCGAATAGGGTGAAAACTTCTTTTGCATCTTTGGTGGATTGTGCAATTGTGTCCACGTCATCCGCAAACGCCAATAGTATTTTGATCCTTGGGCGGCAAATCCGTTTGTCAGTTGTGGTTGAGCTTTCCTTACCGCATGTTCCAGTGCAAAATTAAATAGCAGGGGGGCGAGAGGATCTCCTTGTCTAAGCCCGGTGTCAATAAGGAATTCCTCCGACGCGGTGCTGACAATTCTAATCCTGCGGAAGCGTTCTCTGTGCCCACCTGTGCTAATCGTACCAGATTTCCAGGTACTCTCATTTCTAGCATGGTCTCCCACAATGCTTCTCTGTTAACAGAATTCCTCTATAGTTCCGACATATTTGTTTGTCTCCCTTCTTGTGGATAGGGCTTCCATGCCAGTGTTTCTTTATTTCTTCTCTTTCCCAGACTTCTCTTATAAGATAATATATCTCAAGGCGGAGCTTTTCTCCCTCTTCTTTCGGTAGTTCAGCCTGTATTCCGTCTGGGCCTGGGGCGTTATGGTTTTTTATGAACGAAATTGCGGACTTTACTTCAGCTAGTGTGGGCCCTGGTATTTCAGGTTCGGCTAACTGGCACTGTCTTTGTTGCCCTGTCGTTTCGTTGTGGGTTTTTCTGTATTTAAGAGTTGTTCAAAATACTTTCTCCATTGGCGGCTTATCTCCTCGTCGTCTTTGTCGAGCAATTGTCCTGCATAGTCTTTTATAAAACTTGGGCTGTTGGTCGCGTTGCCCTTTATTGTTTTTATGTCCTTATAAAACTGTCTAGACTGACCGGTTCTATGTTCCTCCTCCAGTTGCTGTATTCGTGCTTCTAGGTACTGTTTCTTTTTTCTTCTCAAAAATCTTCTTGTTTGAGTCCTTACTCTGTTGTAGTCTTCCCTGTTCTCATCTATAGGGCGTGTTAGTAACTCTAGCCTCTTGATTGCTTTCTGATGCAAGCTTTGGTCGCACTCCTGATCAACCCACTGGTTTTCCTTCTTGTTATTCCTTTCTTTTCCTATAGTCTCCGCAGCGGCACTTTCTATGACGTTCGTTATATTTTGGCATTTCTGGTCTATGGTCAATTCTGGCGTTGATGTTTCTTCTTCTTCCAGTGTCTGCAATTTGTTTTGGATCAGTGCCGGATATTGGCGTTCATTATCAGGTAAATTGAGCCTTGAAATGTCCCATATGTTTCCTTGATGACGTTGCTTTGGCTGTCTCGTCTCTAGCCTTGTTCTCATTTTTGTTCTGACCAGGTAGTGGTCAGAGTCACTTTCTGCTCCCCTCAGATTGTGTGCACTGATGATATTGCTAGAATGTCTTCCATCGATAAGCATATGGTCTATCTGGTTTCGTGTGATTCCGTCATTTGACACCCAGGTTACTTTATGTATTACTGTTCTTTGGAATTGTGTAGTTTTTAGTACCATATTGTTGGCTATATTGAATTCTGCCAGTCTTGATCCGTTATCATGTAAGCTATGATAACACTAAAACTGGTAAAAACCAAAAGGAAGCACATTCCATAAGAATAACATAAGAAGATTAAGAATAACAAAATAAAATAATACCGGAACAGAAACGAAGTTCAGAATCTATAGGTAGGAAAGCAGCTAATGTAATGATGTAGGTTAACGCCGAAAGTAAAAAAGAAATGGAGCATGTGAGCAAATGGTGTTTTAGACATTTACAAAAATATGAATGTGAAACTATCTCTCAGCGAATATAGAAATGTGGTAATGTAAAATATAAATTAATGTTTTAAAACAGCCATATTGCAAATGACACTACATTCTGTATATTTTAAATTTAATAAAAATTGAATAACATTTTGTCAATTTACACGATACCTGATGGGAGATCGTTTTTTAAGACTAAAGACCAAACGAATAAATAATTCACTTAAATACTAGATTCACTTTCGTTTTCGCTATCATTTGATACGTCAGAAGATTCTTCTTCACCTTCCTCAACTTCATCAGCGGATTTTTCCGCTGTAGTTTCGGGTTCAGGTAATTTCTTCCCTATTGGTAGTTCTGTTTTGTTTGGTGCCACTTTATCTTTATTTGTTGATGCTGCTATTCTCCTTTCCCGTCTCTTTTCCGTTTTTGTTTTACGATTTGAACTTTTTTCTGGTGGAGGATTTAGTTGGCCCCCTTCCGCCAATTTTTTGTATTTCTTTAATTGTCTTAATTTTCTTGTTGCTGTATTAGTCAATTTACCTCTGCTTTCAATAGCATTGATTTTGTTTTCCAATTCTTTAATAACTTTTTCCTTCTCGTAGTTGTCTGAAGAATTTACTTTTTGTTTGATGATAAAAAATTGGTCTTTCTTTGGTTTCTTATCAGAATTTTGTATAAATGAGCCAGTCTGCTCCATATCATTTTTAATTTCATTTTTCTCTATATCCGGTTTAACATGCGGAAACTGTTTTTTTGGAAAAGTCTTATGAATATTCGGTCCCCCTCTATTGGTTTTGTTGTTTTTAAATTTCTGGTGTCTTTTTCCATTTTCTTGTTTACGTTTTTGCGAAAACTTACCTCTATCAGTGAAGTTTCTCTTATTCGATTTTGGTTTAGTCATTTCTGAAATAAAATATACATTTTTACTGGCCAATATACAAAAAATATTTATTGATAAAAAGATAAACCGAAACTAAAATGAAAATTTATAAGATCATAGACCAATAATGTATACTTTAGACACAAACACACTTACTGTAAGAAAAACAGCAATTACAAATCTTCGAAACAAAAATTGTAAGAAAAATAATAAAAGCGAAGATATCAAACGAATTCAGTTAGGGTATAGATAACATTTTAACGCCAAAACAGGAATGAAATTCAATCCTACAGAAACACCATTAGGAAACTTTGGCTTGGATGCTAGAAATAAACGCGGCGATGCTGCAACATGAACTATTCCAAATGAAGTATTTTCAAAAAGAAACTACTGAGAAGATGGACATTTCAAAGTCCTAATGGAAAAAATCAAAACGAAATAGATTTTATTATCACGGACAAAAAACACACTCTTAAAGAGATCACGGTTCTAAACAGATTTGTTACTAGTAGCGATCATAGAATGGTACGAGGTAAAATAGAAATAGGCTTAAAGGAGATGACGAACAAAATCCAAACCATGGATGAAACCATCAGATGTAGATAGTTTTCTGCAATGTATTTCCGATATACTTAGTAGTCCTGAAACAGAAATTAATATAAACGACTTAAGTAATAAATTAACAAATGCTTTACTGGAAAGTCAAAACAAATTCTGTCCTAGAACTCAAAAAGAAGAAAAGATTAGCCAAAATACTACGCAACTAATGCAGAAAAGAAGAGAAATGAAAAGCGAGACGGAGACTAAAGCCGAGGAACTACAAAAATTAAATAAAGAAATATCCAAAGCTATTAGATAGGACACTCGAAAATACAACCAAGAACAAATCGAACATACCATTGAGAACAACAGAAGTATGAAAGTATTGAGAAAAAGACTAAAAACGGAGACAAGGCAGATAATAAAGATTAAAGATAGAAATGGTCATCTTACAACCAACAGAGAGGAAACCCTTAAAATAGTTGAAGACTTCTATAAATTGCTGTACACAAGCCAACACAAAGCAAATAGCAGAAAAGATCAAGTACCAGAAATATTAACAAGGAAAAAGGGCATTGTCAACCAAGGATCAGAACTACTACCGGAAATCACAATGGACGAAATAAAACTAGACCTTAGAAAAGCTAAGAATAACAAATCTCCAGGCGAAGATTGTGTAGTTACTGATGCAATCAAAATCGGAGGCACTTGCCGACTTAAGAAAATAAAAAACCTTTTTAGCATGTGCCTTTTGGACAGTAATATACCCGACAATCGGCCGAGTCCGACAGGGTTATACCTTATCGCCTAAACTGTTTACCGCAGTACTAGAACATGCTTGTAAAAAACTTCACTGAGGAGAGAAAGGCATGAACGTTGACGGTAGAAGATTAACAAATTTTAAATTTGCAGACGACATAGTTTTGTTCTCGGACAACCTCAAGGAGATATGTACAATACTAATGTCTTAAAATAAACATCTCCAAAACAAAATTCATGACAAACCTAGTACCTAGCAGAATATACCTAGTACCATATCAATATTGTAGACAACGAAGTAGAGGTGGTGGAAAAATACATATATCTTGGACACGAAATAAAGATCACAAGAGACAACCAAACATGCGAACTACGAAGAAGAATAAACCTAGCATGGGCAGCCTATGGAAAACTCAGACATCTTTAAAAGCGATATACCAATTTCTTTAAAACGTAAAACATTTGACCAAAGTGTGTTGCCTGTGATGACCTACGGCGCCGAAACTTTGACATTGGCAGCTACAAGTTCTAAAACGCTGTAAATAGCTCAGAGGAAAATGGAAAGGTCAATGCTGAGTATATCGCTTCGCGACCGAGTTAGAAATGAAGACTTAAGAAGAAGAACAGGAGTTACCGATGTAATTTCCCGAATTGACACACTGAAATGGAACTGGACACGTCGCCCGAATCAGTGATCATAGATGGACGACGAGATTGCTTGAGTGGAGGCCGAGGTTAGACAAAAGAAGTAGAGGAAGACCCCTACTCGCTGAAATGACGATCTCAAGAAATTGGATGAAAAGTGCTCAAGATGGAGCACAATGGACAAAAATAAGGGACTCCTATGTCCAGCAGTGGATGCAAAGGGCTGGGCGGTGATGATAGGTAACAAATGGAACCAGTAATACAATAGAATGGAAAAACACAGAAGTTAAAACACTTCACAAATGTGTATTTAGGTTATTGTGTATGTGTATGTGTTTATTTATTAATACCTAAATACACATTTGTGAAGTGTTTTAACTTCTGTGTTTTTTTAAACGATGGTATACAGCCAATTACGGGGTTTTTCCCATTAATTTTACAATAGAATGGACCCATATTAGCATAAAATACAAATTATACAAGTATACGCCCCAACGATTTCCAAAACTGACGAAATAGAGGAACTCTGTAACATAACTGAAGCACTAAATAACAATAAGTCACTTTAACTATTTAGTCAGTGACTTTAGTGCCACAGTGGAAAAAGAAAAGGCAAGGAAGAAGTCATGGGAAAGTATGGGGTATGTGGAAAGGGTAGCAAGATTGGTTCAGTTTGCACACTACCAAAACATGCCTATTACAAATACATTATTTAAGAAAAAATCGAACAGAAAATGAACTTGGGTAGCATTAAATCAAATCATTAAGAACTTAACTTCATTCTAACCAGCAAGATTACGACAATAAAAGATGTTAGTATAATAAATAAATTTCAAACAGGCAGCGAGCATACACTAATCAGAGCAAAAATTGTTCAAATCTGAAACTAGAAAGAATAAAATTAATCACAAAACTAACAGTAACCGGTACAAATATTAACAATCTAAAAGAAAACTCAGATCACTACCAAAGGACAACTGATGAAAGATTATATGACCAAATCGACAGCTCTCAATTAATGAAAATCATCTTTGATAGTGCCAAAGAAATCTGAGGCACGCAACTACAAAATGAACATAATAAACTGTTTGATAAAACCAAAATAATGCTAAAACAAAGAAGGGAAATGAAAGTAAGTAGTAACATAAAGAGAATACAATACACAAAACTTTGTAAGAAAGACATAAGGAAAGACAATGAAATACTGATAGAAAATGCAATCGAAAACAGAAAAAAAACTATAAAACAAGAAAAGCATTAATTGTGAAGAAGCAAATCGTTGCTCTAACAAACGAAAACACCAGAATAAATGCAATAATACAACTGGTCTAAATTCTACAGCGAACTATACAAAGCCCCCGAAACACTTGAAGAAGCAACCAAGAACCAAGAAGGTGTACCAGAAGTACTTCCGGAAGAAGTAGAATCTACAATTACAAAAGTGACAAGCGGTAACAGTGGAACTGCTTAAATACGCTGGCAAAAAAAAACTAGAAATCTTAGCAGGCATATTTACGAACTGCCTAAGATCAAGATACATATCAGACCACATTAATACACCAAACATAATTCCCATCCATAAGAAAGTTAGCACTTTCAAAGACAGTGTATATCAAAACTGCAGACTGATAAGTCTACTACCAATTATATATAAGATATTCAGAAAGATCATCAACAACAGTTACAATTGCATTGGATGCTGCACAGCCAAGAAAGCAAGCTGGCTTCTGAAGTGGATTCAGTACCATGGATCATATCCATACGCTTCAATAAGTAATGAGTAGAGCTAAAGAATATGAAATACTATGGGATTGAAAATATTGTTCCGAATGTTCTGGCACGTTTTTATCATAGTAGTAATTAAATAAATACTAAGAAGAAAAATAGGTACTAAACAGCGTGTTTTTTTTTGCTCTCCCTAAAAAGTTACTTTTTGACTATAAATTTTGTCTTTCGACTGAGACTAATTTAACTACTTTCTCCTTCTTCCTCTATATTCATAACATCCCGATAGTGTCCAGAAGCTATTTTCTTGTAAGATTTTAACACAATTTACGATTACTTTGGGAATTAACCAAAATTTTAGTTTAAAATTGATTAAATGTGATCCAGTTTTCTCTCTCGAAGATGTTAATTCAGATCTTAATCTCAGCTGCTCTTAGGACCTGCTTTCACCCTAAGCATCACGGTATTTTGTCTTAAACTTATCCTACCACTAATTTGTTTAGTCCCTCTTTACTTTAATTTTATTATTACATTTTCCTATCTAATTACTTCCAACATATTTTGTCAAAATATTTGATGGGAAACTTACAGTATATATTACATAAATTAAAAGAGCTCATATAAGTAGTACATACACACTTAAAAAATAATACCCAATTTGACAATTAACAAAAGATAAGAATAAATTCACTATTTGATATCACGTAAGTACTGTTTCTTTCAGTTTCATATATGTCCATCGGCACATTTTTACCACGATTTGTATTGTGAAAGGTATTTTAGAATGTATTTCTAAGTAGCCTAGAAAATACAAACAGAATAACGGCATGTAAAAGTTTCTGACAGCTAAATTTATCTCGAATTAGTTTGAATATAATCAGCTTTAATGTACCTCATAATTAAGATCTTACCAATGCGTAGTATAACACTACTAGGCCTTTTTCAATTACGAGGCTTTTGGAGATGACTATCCAAATTATACCTAAATCTCTAATAGCACTGACTTCAGAGAACTTACAACCAATGTAGTATAAGGAGTCAATTAGTTTCAAAATTTTTGAAGTTATTTTATATTTCTGAGTCTTTAGCTGTAAATAATTTTCTGAACACCACAACCATAGAGCATTCAAATCATCATGGATAAAATGAATACATATCTGACATTGTATTAACTTTTCTAAAAATTGAGATCATCTGCAAACATTAACTCATCTGTGTATTTTAATTTATTTGTTAAATCATTAATAAACAAACAAAAATATTCATAGTTTGTGTTTTGAAAGTTTGAGACATTTACATTCTAAGGTATTCTAGGAAAGTAAAACCTATAAAATAAAAAAATAATGAATTACAG